ATGGGCAAGCAGCAATTCTATCTGGATAAATGCATTTTGGCTTTTATGACTCCTCCTATTTCGAGAAATCAAGCGTGACGTGACACACATTGACTTTTTATATAGGTTAGATGACTTGTATTAACTTTTCTTTATGTGTATTTCAAAAATCATGCTAACACTTCATATAGATAATTTGCAAAAAACGTGAAGCTTTATCGATAATACATAACATTTGCATGTGTTTTTTATACAAATTAAAATGCCTCGTGCGGCTCAGGATCGCTTAACAACGAACAACAATCAGAACGCTTAAAATACAGAAAGTGTTTCTAGACCAACTAAGTAGGTTCTTTCAATAAAAAATTACTAATGGCAATTAGGTTCATATTTCAATTCCAATGCTCTCTGTTTTTAGAATTAAAAACAACTGACAGGTTAATATCATCTAATACTTTTATATTCCCTGTTCAATTCTAAACAAGAATATTAAAGATCAAAGCAAGGAAGTGGGTGAAATAATTCTATAATGTTATATATATGTGTTTTGAAATTTCACCTTAAGAGGTGAGTCGTTAGATATTATCATGTTCTTAATACGATTTAATGTTGAACGAATTTGATGATATATCTTATAAAACAAAATAAAAACGAGAAATAAAATTAATGTTTAAAGCCTATAAACACGTTACACTTTCATATCACAGGGTTTATGGGTGCTTACGTGTTTATTTTCTAGCGATTTTATTCGGCTACTATGACACAGACTATGCTTAAAGTATTCAGCATATCATCGGTATTTGATTACTAACATAGGAACATTTTGATCTAGCGTCTCATAAAAATTAATCACATAAATAATCGCATATCGAGAGAAGCATGCCTAAATGTTGTTCATACATGACTCATTGGTACCCTTGTGTAAGAGGAAAATTAGTAATACATTAAAACAAATTCATTACACAGTTTATATCTTAAAGAAAGAGATTCATAATTGTTCTTTTAGCACATCGCAAATGCTGAGATAATAAGCCCTCCAGTGGCTGCGGACTTACTACGCTAGAAACCGGGTTTCAATATCCGTGGTGGGCAGAGCACAGATAGCCCATTGTGTAGCTTTGTGCTTAACTTCAATCAAACAAATCAGATAATAAAAAATATAGCCCCCCAGTGGCTCAGCAGTAATTATAAAAGCATGAGTAAATGTAAAGAAGAATTTAATACCATGTAAAAACCACTATTTTTATTATATGTGGTGCCTACAAACCTTTTTACTAATGCTAGAGCTTTTCAAGCCAGCTGAGATACAAAAAATAGAGTAGTGGTCGAGAAGCTATTTATGTCATCAATTATAGTTATAATAATAGTTTTATGTGTATTTTGTTTAGTTTTTACGGAATAATAATAATACCTTTGTCATTAGCTCAAGGGTTAGAGCTAAATATACAATTATGAAGTTTGTAAATTTTTGGGTTAATAATTCCTAACCCCTGGCTTAAATGCTTGATTAATTAGCGTCCTTTAAAACTTTTGTACTGTACAAACCTAATTTTAACATCAAGACTGTGACTATATTTAAGGGTAGATTAAAGTTGTACGCAAGCATTTTGTATAAGATATACATAGCATTTGGTCCCCGGTGGGTCAACGGTGTGTCTACGGACTTACAGCACTAAAATCCGGAATTCAGTCCCCCGCGGTGGACACAGGAGATATCCCAATGTGGTTTTCCTCTACAATAAACAAAAAAAACACAAGTCATAGCGATATATGACTTAACAGGATAATGATTCAAACTGAGTGCTGATTGAAGTTGAGTGATAGCATAATATGACTTAACAGAGTAGTGAGTGAAGTTGAGTGATAGCATAAGTACAGTATATGCACAGTAACATATGAAGAGAAAGGAGTAAAAAAAAAAGGCACCTTTTTTAATTGAGTTATGTGATGTATAAATTTTAATAAAATAAATCACATACCTTCTTAAAACGTTTAGTTTACATATGACTACTTACTTGTGTGCGTATTTTTATCACCAAATATTCTGTATCTATTTCATTTGAAAATAACTAGCTCATAATCGTAGCTTCCATGGAGTCTGGTGTGATTAAGCCAAGAACATCATACGTTTCCATCCAGAAAATTACACACCCAAAACGTAAAATCAGGATATCATCAGGTATGTAAGATGTGTAAACAGCATTTACATAAAATTATACAGATTGCTGTTTGTTTCAAACATTATCACATAAGATGCAACATTGCTGTAGATATGTAGTTTAGTTATCCTTGAAGAAGAAAGCATAGTTTTAATTAATTAAATTACACAAATTTATGTATGAAAAAGTATGGAACTGTTATACAACATGTACTATTATAGAAAACTAGATGTCTACACCTGTCCTTCATTGTATCAAAGACAGTTTCATTTAGAAAAGTCGAGTATGTGACAACACGCATATAAATACTAATATATATATATATGTGTGTGTGTGAGTGTATGGTTGTTATGGCATGGTTTTAAGCTTCTTGGAAACCTGTGGAACAAAAAATTGTCTTACTGTTAAAATTTCCTGCGGAAGTATTATTTATATTTACCATAACTTGAGAAAATGTTGTTATTGGCCTAAAACACTTGTTATTGTTATTTATCAAAATAAGTGATAACGTAAAGACTAATGAATTCCTGACTCTTACTCCCAGGAAGCCTTTTTAGATACAAGAGAAATGCGATACAGTTTTTCCATCTGTGTCCTTTTTTCTTCCATCTCTCATATTTCTGTTGTTTGTTAATTAACTATCCAACTACATATTTCATATGTTTGTCTTTGCACGCTGTATAACTCATCCACGCTTTTATTAGTTTAACAAATCATGTTGTTTACTCACAAAGTTAACATGAAGTAGGACAATAAAGGTAAGACGAAATTTGCAAAAAAGAAAAACATCAACAAAATGCTTGTGTAGGTGATTGATTATATCTAAAAATCTTAAAGTTACTATGCTCTTCGTATTAATGGGCATATTAATCCACACTTTTGTTTATGGTAGTTATCAAATACTACAAAAGCTTAGCTTTACAGTGTCTTATGCAGTGGATGATCGATCATTGTGTGGTTTTATTCAACTGATTTTAATATAATTTAAAAATATATATCTGTCTGTTTCTGAATATTTTGTATTTCTGTAAGTTTTAATATTTTTGAGTTTAAATATTTTCGTAATGGTCTCTGTTTTTAACAAAATTATTTCAGGGTATTTGATCACTATTAAAGCTGTTTGTTAATACCGATGAATAAGTTGAATACAAAATATAAAACAAATATTAGGACAGTTTTTAAAACTTATATACACGTGGGTTAAGCAACCAGATTAGAGACCCTTAGTATTCAGGTATAACCGTTTCCAACTTCAAATTACTGACTAGAGTGAAGACAGCCAGAAAGCAGCATTCACCGCCACAACAGTTTGGTTCGTCTCCTTGAGATGAATAACAGAATTGACTGTCAAGTTGATAACTTTTGTTTTATTATCTTCTCATGTGTAGCTTGTCAATAGAGAAATAGTGTACAGTGAAGTAAAATATTAGCAGGGAATTTGAGTTACTGCAAACTGTAACTTTGTGTTACTTGTGTTCTGGCTACTGTTCTTATAAAATTTGCTATTTCAATCAGGTAGCAGGAGGTAGTTATTTTAAATTTCATCATTTGCTGTTTTCTTTTTTCTGCTTAACGTATAATTAATTCTTAAGTGAGGCAAAAACTGAAATATAATGACCAGTTTGTACAGGTGATTTAAAGGACTGGCCTTGGAGAACAGAAATAAGTGTGAACAAGTTCCAGAATTACAAGTGAAAATACTTTGTGCTTCGTGTGAATCACTAAAAATCCTAAACTACATCAGTAAGCAAGTTCACGTTTTACAGTCTGTAAAAGAACTACTGTAGCTGCTCCTCGAATTACTTTACCAATTTCCTTGGAATCTTACAGACAACCGCTTGCGTTGCTGTGTTGTCTGATATAAAATAAAGGACGTAAAATCCAGTACTGATTGTAGTTCAGTTTTTTCAAGTTATGTAACTTAACATGAACGTATTTTAACACAGAGAAAAGATGGCTTAGACTCGTCACAGAAAAAAATATTGTATAAAGCTAATGTGATAATCTAGTAGTTAAGTGTATGATATCAATCTTAAAAATATTATAACTTCTAATATCATCATTAATAAGGTAGTGAAAATTATATATATATATCGTAAATGATAAAACCAGTTCTCTGTCGAACAGCATATTAAATAATTTACGGTATGTATAAACGCTTAGTTTTTTATATTTACTGTTCGGTTTCCGACGTTGGTGGCCCTGTTTTAAATACATCAGTGTTCGTAGAACCAGAATCATCACAAATTGCGCTTTCATGTCAGTTTATTCACAGTAGAAAGAATCAATAACAGTTAGCAATGACTTCAGGTATTTAGAAACAATTTTCCATGGGAGCCTTTCCTTTGTTGACCCAAGTGTTTTGGAGGGGATCAGCAGACGGTTTTACAGACCAACACATCATCAAAAGTAAAACACACGTGCTGAGAAACATTAATCACGCTTACTGCAAATCCTATTATTCATGAAATAAGAGAAGACCCCCGCGGATTGTAAAACGTACGTGGTAAATGGGTGAATGAAGTCCTCAGCGACTTCGTTCCTTAGCTTTAACTTCACCTGTGACCAACTGGTAGGTTGCTAATATTACTAGCTTCTTAAAGGAATGTAAAGTAAAGTAGCTCGCAGAGCTTCTCGTGTAAATCAGTTCGCACCTTTAACAAAGCTTTCAGAAAGGAACTTGCTGTAAAATAATTTGTCGCCTTAAATGGATTAGCTTCTCACTCACCGACATGACTGACGTACGGCTTTGTGATCATGCTCACGCTGTAACTCTGTCCCTCCCGCTGAGACAGCCACACCTTAGGGCTTCACCTACCGCACGGTGTTCCACTTTTTCTCGAGAAGTTCCCTCCTTCTGTGGCAGTGGCATTGTTCCCTGTACCTACAGAGAGGACCCTGATATTATTTGGCAATGTCAAGGGTGTCCATAGCAGCTATTCTAAGTAGAGACCGCATACCGACACGAAAATCCACCCTAACTGCTTAAAGATAGTTTCTCCGAGTTTTGTAACAAATTAATTACATGGATGTACTGGTGAGATCTGTCCTAACGACGATCTTAAACGTCTATTCTCATTTACCAAAAACGCAAAACCTAACTTTTAAACTCAAGGAAGTC